TGTTAAAAATCCATACCGTGTACGGGTTCTGGGAAGTCGGGGGGGGGGAAGGGGGAGGGGGGGAGGAGGGGGGGGGGGGGAGGAGGAGGGGGGTTGGGGTGGAGGGTGGAGGGAGGGAGGGGCATACATTAGGCTAGACAAGAATTTGGTGGTAAACTAGAACTATTTTGATACACAAAAAATTGTACTCCGATGTCTCACTGATTGAGGAATGATGAAATGTTTGTTTGAAAAGAAATAAAACTTTTGAACGATAATTATCCGTTGAAGTCTCTGTCTTGTTGGGTTGCAGAGCCAAACCAGACAGTTATGGAGGTGCCAGACTCAATAATTCCTCTGTAGAACAGAATCAGCAGCTCCTTGGGCAAGTTTGAGCTTCCTGAGATGGTGCAGAAAGAACATTCTTTGTCCTGATGTTTTTGATGATGTTCTTGAGGTTAGAAGCCCATTTTAAGTCTTGAGATATGATAGAACCCAGAAACCTGAAGATCTCTACTGTTAATACTGTGTTGTCTAGTATTGTAAGAGGTGGTAGCATAGGAGGGTTCAAAAATTAGACTGGCAGAACTGTTAAAAACTGAGGGCTACACGGGATGGGCTTTGTAATACTCGCAACATGGGTTTCAAAGCACCACCCAAAAATTGCAATTTGGGGGGGGGCATATATTTTAGCACACTTTATTGAACTTGTCATAAAGAAAACTTCCCACCTAAAAACTGCAAAAGCCCCTCTTACAATCTAAAAGCGATGTCGGGGACAGGGTTGACTTATTTAAAGTTTCAGAAGTGTGTTTGGGTGCAAAGGGACTCCAGACTGATGACACATTTGATCCCTCCCTCAGGCTCAGCCTGGTCATTGTAACGTAATTCTGTCAGGCTGGTGTGATCTCTTGCTTAGCAACTGTGTCACTTAGTGATGGAGTTGCCAGTCCCAATTTTGGACCTTAAGTGAGGACAATATGAATTCTTACTTGGCTTTGTCTTCTTCCTCCCCTGGATCCAGTGAGGACAACTCTCCGATTACAAGCCACGGTGGCGCAGTGGTTAGAGTGCAGTACTGCAGGCTGCTTCTGCTGACTGCCGGCTGACAGCAATTTGGCAGTTCGAATCTCACCCACTCTGGTAAAATGACTCCAGATTGTTGGGGGCAATAGGCTGACTCTGTAAACCGCTTAGTGGGTTGTAAAGCACCATGACGCGGCATATAAGTGCTGTTGTTTGCTATTGCAGGCTAACTCTGCCCGCTGCCAGAAGTTTGATCCTGACTGGGCTCAAGGTTGACTCAGCCTTCCNTGAGTCAACCCTGAGCCGGTGAGATTTGAACCGCTGACCTGCTGATCTAGCAGTAGCCTGCAGTGCTGCATTTAACCACTGCGCCACCTTGGCTCTTATAATCCAGAAAATCTAGTTCGCAAAGGTGGTGCAGAGCAAGTCTTGAAATACAGAGGGCATTTTTTGGGGGGCCAGGCATTCCTGTTTCTAGAAGAAAAAGATAGCTTACCAAAAGAAGTCTTTATAAAACCCAAGCCACAGAACAACCTTGACGCTAAGTGAATATTACTTTCTACCTAGAAAACACCAGTCAACTACTAAAATTTCATGGAAAGGTACAGAAACTTCTTTTTTTTTCTTCCAAGAAAGCCAATTGTGAAACAAGGGCTTGGCAGAGCATGTCGAAATCGCGCCTAACCAACCTTCCAAGTTTGCAAATTGCAAATAGGAAGACTGAGGCTGAGACATGAGAATGCTCTCTTGAGAACTCATCCTATTCTTTTAATGACTCTGTAATCCCTTGTGGAGTGGGTTCTGGGTAACTGAATGGAGCTGTGTGCTTACTGGCCAGATGCCCTTCCTGTTGCCGATGCGGAGTTTGTTTTTTTCAGCCATATTCTCAATGTGCCCAGAGAGAGAAATATCTGCCTCTACCTAGGATTGAACTCACAACCTCTGGATTGTGAGGCGAGAGCTCCACCTCTAGGCCATGGTGCTCTTTTGAATCCTCTCTTTGAGAACCCCATCCTCTGTGTTTTTAACCTGTCACGTGCCTCTCTTTTTTTTTTTGCAGGCAAAATGTCCAAGGGTCCAGCTGTCGGCATTGATTTGGGGACCACCTACTCCTGCGTAGGCGTTTTCCAGCATGGCAAGGTGGAGATCATCGCCAACGACCAGGGCAACCGCACCACGCCCAGCTACGTGGCTTTCACGGACACGGAGCGCCTCATTGGTGATGCTGCCAAGAACCAAGTGGCCATGAATCCCACCAACACCGTCTTTGGTAAGAGAGGGGAAATTGGGCCTGGTTCTGCCGGGACTACCAGGGTTTGAGGCCATAGGTGTAAGAAATTATGGGGAGATGAGAATCAAAAAAATTTGGGTGCCACTTAGTTTGGCAAAGGATGAGCATCTCTGCGGAGCGGCAGAGTTAGAAGACCTGGCTCACCTCCGATTTGATTGTTGCTTGTATGAGGGGGTGAGAGACGGATAACGTTGGTCTATAGACCAAACAAAGGACCCCCATATCAAAACAACTTAATTTATATGCAACCAGAACCTGACAATAACATTTAACACAGCACAGGACTTCCAACAAAACGGTTCGGTTGAGATCTGCATACGTGGGCCTGATTGGGGTAGTGTCAAGTTTCCAAACGATGCTGTAATTGATTCATAATAACCGAGCCAATATTTTAATACGAAAACCAGTGATTTATTGATAGCTTCATCGGGCAAGATTTGTTCACAGCCAAATCTTTGCTTTGTTTTATTTGCTTCTTACTTGCCTCCCATCATTCTGTGTCATAAATCATGTTACCCAATAGATACACCCCTCCCCAACCCAGCAGCTGTAATCTGAGATCCCATTCCAGCAGTCCCACTCATTCTGTCCCCATGACAACATGGGAGAGTTGACAGGTAGTTTGTAAGGGTGACACCGAAATATAATTTTATGTCATTTTATTCTCTTTTACATATTTATGTATTAAATTACATTGTTATCGTATATAACTATTGTGTTTTACCCTACTCTTTATTTAAATTGTTTGTATAGGATTTTAATTTGGTGATAGATGTTTGAACCGTGTGCTTTGATATGGCCTATAGGCTAATCAACAAAGCTATAATAGTAATAGTTGGCAAATGGCTATAGAAGTAATGAGAATGTCTTGAAAGGATTAAGCGTCTTTTGCCAAGGGTCAAGACAGTGATTGGGTGTCCAGGAAATTGGTTCTTTTGGATTCAAAGCAGTGAATGAAGAACTTTTAAGCTTTATTGCTAATGCAAGCAAACAGAGTTAAAAGCATAAATAGCAACAGCACTTTGCAGTGCTTTCCAGCAGGGGTCTCCAACCTTGGCAAATTTAAGACTTGTGGGCTTCAACTTCCAGAATTGAGCTGAAGTCCACAAGTCTTAAAGTTGCCAAGGTTGGAGACCCCTGCTTTACCGCATTCTCTTTAAGTGTTTTATTTATACGCAATATGCCAATATTTGGCATATTGCTCCCAACTACCTGGGTCCTCCTTTTTACCCTGACCTTGGAAAGCTGAGTCAACCTTGAGCTGGTCAGGATCGAACTGCTGGCAGTGAGCAGAGTTAGCCTGCAATACAGCATTCTAGCCACTGGGGTGCCCACCGCATACCAAAACAAGATGATACCCAAATCTCTCATAAACGGGGGCGTCTTGCTGCTCTCTGAGGTTGGTGGTTTTCTTGGAGACGTTCCCTTACCATACTCCGTGTCATCTGTTTAACTGTTTAATAAATTTATAGGCCGCCCAATCCCGAAGGACTCCGGGCGGCTTACAGAAATACATTTCAAAAATTAAAATAGAGAGAATAAAAACAGATTAAAAGATCACTTCATACACTCAATCATCATCAGTGCTAGAAAAGGAGTGGGATTTGCTCTCGTTTTTATATACTAGTAGATTGCCCTATCAGTGTTGGGAGTTGACTTGGGCAATCAAGGCTTGTTGGGAACACTGTTATCTTCTACTTGCATTTTTCTACATGCTTTCAAACTGCTAGGTTGCCCGAAGCAGAGACAAATAGCCTACCTCAAATTGCCAGTCTCTCGAATATTACCCGGCCCATGGTCCATCTTTTCTAGCAGGCATGGGCAAGTTCCAAATTTGTGTCTTAAGCCTGGTTTTTTTATGGCTTAGCCCTCACCAGATTGATTAAGCAGTGAAAAGCAAACAAGATACTTGGAATCGAAAAAGCTATCTTACCATGCCAGCGGGGTGGCAATGTGACAGACATTGTAAATCAAGAAGTGGCAAATTTAATTTCTCCGTAAAGCGAAGTTCTGAGCTCTTTCAGAGCTGACCTGTTTGCTGAGTAAAGGAGGGAAGGAATCTTTGGCTGCAAAGCTTATCTTATCAGTGAAAGTCTTGGGACGTTCTGTTCCCATCCCAGAAAACACCTGCCCACCCATCCAAGGTCACGTCTTGCAGCTTTGTGACCACAGGGCATGAAGTCCTTGTGCCAGGCTTTAATAATAAAAAAAAAAACTTTCCTATTGGGCTTTCAGCTGGGAAACTTCTGCACAGAACTTAACCCTGGAAATTAGCTGTCCTCTGCCGCTGTTATCAAAAAGTTACTGAGAGTTTATTAAGATAAGAACATATTTGTAACTCAGGGTTAAACTGTTGGGTCCTTGGTGCTCAGCTTGTTTTTTTTGCCGATGTTTTATTGCCCAACTAGGTAACATCATCAGTGCTAGAAGTGAGTGACGTTCGCTCTTTAGTGGCTTGCCCTGTCCGTGTTGATGGGAGTGGGCTTGTTGGTTCCGTGGGGCTTTGGTGTTTAGTCCTGCCGGCCACATGACCACGGAGACGTCTCCGGATAGCGCTGGCTCTTCGGCTTTGAAACTGAGATGAGCACCGCCCCCTAGAGTCGGGAACGACTAGCACATATATGTGCGAGGGGAACCTTGACCTTATATGTCTTTCTGATAAAAGTCCTTCAGTGTATTGAATGATCTCCCCCGTTCTCAGATGCCAAGCGCCTAATTGGCCGACGTTTCGACGATCCGGTCGTACACAGCGACATGAAGCACTGGCCTTTCCAAGTCATCAATGATGGCGGTCGCCCCAAAGTCCAAGTAGAATATAAGGGCGAGATGAAGTCCTTCTACCCTGAAGAGGTCTCCTCAATGGTGCTGACCAAGATGAAGGAGATTGCAGAGGCTTACCTGGGCAAGGTGAGTGGATACAAGGGCAGCCGTCTCAAGCCGTGGGTGTATCTGGCACACAGGAGAAATGAAGTAGAGGAGACATTAATTCAGTATACAGGTAGCCCTGTAACTACAACAGTTCATTTAGTGACTGTTCAGACACTAGTGAAAAAAATTGCGATTTATGACCATTTTTCACACTTGCGACCGTTGCAACCTCTCCCAAGTAAATCAAAAGTTCAGGCTCATATTGATGACATTTGCAGTATCCCCGGGGTCATGTGATCGCCTTTTGCAGTCTTCCTACAAGTTCTTCCTGGGGAATCCCAAGATTCGCTTAACGACGGCAGTGGTTCACTTAACAACCGTGCCAGAGAGATTGTGAAATGGGGCAAAATTCACTTAACCGCCGTCTTGCTTAGCAATTGTGGACGTAAGTTGAGGACTGCCTCTATACTCTGCCTCTCCTGATTTAAAAAAAATGGAATTTTATCAGTTCAAAGACAAGAGAACTGACCTCTGGCGTGTTGCAAATTACATTCTATCCCAGGAAGGGCTAGGAAGAAGCAGGGGGTTTTGGAGGATAAAGAGGCCACCTCTTGAATCATGTTTTTAACTTAAGAGAAGAGGGGGAGGTTCCAATTGGAGATTTGCTGTATTTTTCAGAGTATAAGACGCACCTTTTTCCCCTCAAAAAAGAGGCTGAAAATCTGGGTGCGTCTTATACACTGAATACAGCATTTCTTGCCTCCCGAAACCCCGCCCCCTTTCACCAAAATGGCCATGCAGAGCCTTTAGGAGGCTTGCAGAGTGCTCTTGGGGGCTGGGGAGGGCAGAAATGACTGAAAAACAGGCTGGGTTCTCTCTTTTTTTTTCTTCTCAATTTTGCCCCCAGCATAAGCCTCTTAAAGGCTATGCATTCCCCTTTTTTGACAAAAAATGGGCCCGTTTTCGCGAAAATACTGGTGGTTTTTGCTTGTTTTGGGAGGGGGGGCACCCCCCAGAAGCACTCTCCAAGCTCCTCCAAGCTTCTTTTGCAGGGGGGGGGGAGAACGGGCCCATTTTCAGGAGGTCTGCAAAAACTTTTTTTTTTAATTTGCCTCTTCAAAATCTTGATGCGTCTTATACTCTGAAAAATACGGTAATGCTTGCAAGTAGGAACAGCTTGTGGGATGGAGACGTTAATAGTGAGATTCTGTTGGTTTCTTTGTCTGAAGTGACATGGGAGAGGCACCACCTTGCTTTTTGCTGACCTGATCTCCCCTTCCCTCCATCCTAGACAATTAACAATGCGGTAATCACGGTCCCAGCCTATTTCAATGACTCTCAGCGGCAAGCCACCAAAGACGCCGGCACCATCTCGGGCCTCAATGTTCTTCGCATCATCAACGAACCGACGGCAGCAGCCATTGCCTATGGGCTGGATAAAAAGGTAGGGATACAGTGTTGTTCCTCCATGCGATCGGTTGACTTTTATATAAGAGTCCAGAAAGAAACTTCTGGAGATCTCGGAAGATCTCCTAAGAACTTCTCGATCCCTTTTTGAAACTGATTCGATGGGTTTTTTTTTGGAGTTGTCAACCATCCCACGCAATTCATTTGGCAAATAAAAGACTCATTTGGGGCAGTTTTCGTGTTCCGGGAGTACAATATACTCAGCTGGCATGGACAAGGAAGTATCAAAACCAATTCGAAAATGTTCCCGCGCCAAACAGCATAATTCAAATCAGATCGAGTTTATTACAGTCAAAGACTGTATGCCAGTTATCAGGAGCCGAGGTGGCACAGTGGTTAGGGTGCAGTACTGCAGGCCACTTCAGCTGACTGTTATCTGCAGTTCAGCGGTTCTAATCTCACCGGCTCAGGGTTGACTCAGCCTTCCATCCTTCCGAGGTGGGTGAAATGAGGACCCAGACTGTTGGGGGCGATATGCTGACTCTGTGAACCGCTTAGAGAGGGCTGAAAGCCCTATGAAGCTGTATATAAGTCTTAACTGCTATTGCTATTGCTGACAGTTAGGAGTTCAGGTCTCAGTGGCTCAC